TACCAATGTCTCCACTGTCTTCAGAAGGAGGGCATTAGAGCAATACAGTAATATGATCAGCTTTCCTGAGTTTAGAAGACAAGGTGTATGTATGACTTCTTTTAAAATCTTTGTTGTTCTTATAGAAGAATATTTTTGCTCTCATTAAATGATTTGAATAGTCATTGTCAGATTTCAAAGGGTGTTGGTTCCAGAATTTTCCTAAAGATACTGAAATCTGTGAAGTCCCTTATATCAAATGTAGTATTTGAATATAATCTACATACACCTCCCTATATGCTTTAATGTTTTCTAGGTACTTATAATTCTTAAAATAATGTAAGTGCTCTGTAAACAGTTATATAAGGAACAATGGGAAAAAAGCCTGTATATGTTTCAGGACATATGTAATTAAAAATATTCTCAATCCAATGTTATGTGGCTCCACAGATGTGGAGCTTGTAGATGAAGATGCTTGTAGCAGGCTTTTTTGAATGATCAACCCCAAAATTAACACAGAGACTTACTACTAATTATGAAAGCTCAGCCTTAGCTTAGGCTTGCTTCTAACTAGCTCTTATACCTTAACACACATTTTTAAATTTATATTCTTCCGCATGCTTATTACCATTTTGCCCATCCTGTTTCCTCCATATCTGGCTGGTGACCCCATCTTTCTTATTCTTAGAGCTTCCTCTGTCCAGAAGTCCTGGCTATACCTCCTTCCTAGCTATTAGCCGTTTAATTTTTATTAAACCAATCACAGTGACATATGTTTACACAGTGCCATCAAACGTCTCTCAACATTTCCCCCTTTTTGTCTAAATAAAAAGGAAAGGGTTTTGACTCTAACAATGCAAAACTATATACAATAAAAATAATTATCAAGTAAGAAATACATTCACAATGTCCAGTCCATTAGTATTTGGCAAATTCAGAGAAAATGCTGTTATCTATCTTTTCTTGGTGAGTCCAAAGTTTTGTAATTCAATTTCTATCATAACTTAGGCAAACTGTAACTATAATTTTTAACTATCTAATCCTCAGCCCCATCAGAGACCTGAGAAGGATATAATATTACCTGAGTAAACAGGAAGTGCAGAGCAAGCAACTTCCCAAACTAAGATATCTGGTTGCCTGAACAGTCACCCCAAGGTTCCTCTGTAATGTTGGGGCATCCATCTTCAGCTTAGAATATCTGACAGAGCTGGGCTGTGGTGGCACATGCCTTTAATGCCAGCACTGGGGAGGCAGAGCCAGGCAGATCTCTGTGAGTTCGAGGCCAGCATGGTTTACAGAACAAGATCCAGGATAGGCACCAAAACTACACAGAGAAACCCTGTCTTGAAAAACAAAACAAAAAGAACAACAAAAAAAGAATATCTGACAGACTTTTCTGTGAAGCAGGATTTTTTGAAGAACTGTCCTACCCTGTCTTGGCAAAGTTCGACAGTCACTTTCTTTTGTGTCCTGCTTGTAATTTGGACAGTGTACTTTCAGCAGTTAAGGCAAGGGCAGTTTCTTTTTCTGGTAGCTAACTTTGAGACAATAAAAGTAAACTCTATATGAAGGTTCGTAAATGTCCATCATACTTTTTTGAAGTAGATTAGTGCTGTCAGGAGCAGACATGTCTCACTGTCTTGGAAAGCCCTATGTTATTAAAACATTTTAAATATCATATTCTGTAGGTCTTTGAAGTGTTTGAAGATCAGCTATCTGTCTAAAAAATAGCTCTGTAAGACCTTGAAAACATACCTAACATGACTATATGTTTGATTGTTATAATAACATACTATTAACCTGCTCTTTATTTTCCTAAATAGCTTCCAAGGACTAAAACTTTAACATTATCTTTTTCAATGAAATGAGCTGCATAGGTACAATACCTTAAACAAGAATAGAAACACATACACAGTATAACAAAAATAATCTTAAATTTGTACCAATATAGAAAAATCCATACCAATGTAAAATATTTGAGACTAGTTGTTGTTTAAAAGTAGACCCAGCAATCTGCCCTTTTATCCCATCATTTCTATAGTATATCCTCCCTTTTCCCTGCAGAAAGAGATCCCTGAATCTAACTTCCTTTGCTTAGTTTTTGTTTTCTGATCATTGCCAATAACAACTTGTAAGCAACCACCTAAATGATGACAAACATCTATAACTCACTGAATGCCAAAAAATCATCCACCCTTCTTCTGTGTTCTCTAGACTGCTTTCTATTGTCTGGGATGATGGTATCTTTAGAGGACCTGAGAAAATTGAGATAATGGTTAAGCTCTGAAAAAAAAATAGCCATAACATTTGTTGTCCAGTCTCTGTGCAATGGGAAAGTACAAGGCTTATCTGTAGTCTTGGATGGAGTAGTCCATGAGGCTGGACCAGTTTTTCTATGTTTATTTCTTTGTCTGTAGTCAAGATTTTCAGGGCATCTCCCCTGAACAAACCTGATCTCTACCAACCTTAAATGAATCCACAGCTTTTCGTTTTCTGTGGAAACAAAAGTATAATCTCTTTCCCAAAGTAATACATTTTCTGACTTCCTTTTTAAAGTTAAGGCATTACTAAAGTATCTACGCTGGTTTAATTTAGCAGTTCCTCTTAAAACCCATGTCTCTTAGCAGCTGTCATTCACTCATGAGCAATCAAAAAATTCAAAGTCAACAGGATACCATATAAGATCCAGACTCTGTGTGTTTTCTATTTTTACATGTCTTATCCTTTTTATATTATTTTATTCTCTCTTTAAAGACTTTATCTTATCATTTATTAACTACTTTTTTCTATGACTCTTTATACCCATTTCCTTTTCTTTTTTAAGCCTATACACATTTTAAAAACATACTGTAACCTCTATAGAGATTTTTTCCCACCTGCTACATTCTCTGACCACCTGAGATCAATCTTAAACTGCCATGTCAAATGCCACATGGCTCAGCCTAGCACATGGTGCTGGTGGCTGGCTCTAGCAGCAGCAGTAGTGACACCTGTGTGTACCGGCCCACCTGAGAGACTGCAAGACTAGAAAGCCACATCCAGATCCTTATCTGGAACTTTTCTTAGCTTTCTCAAGCCCTATGTTTAGACATTTGAGTCCCCATATTGGACACCAAATGTAGCAGGATTTTTTTGGACTGCCAGCCATATTATCAGTTATGAAAGCTTGGCCTTAGCTAAGGCTTGTTTCTAACTATCTCTTATAACTTAAATTAACTCATTTCTATTTGTCTGTATGCTGTTACATGGCTCATTGCTTTTACCTCTCCTCTTTCATGTTCTGCTTTCTCTGCATCTGGCTAGCAACCCCACTTTTCTTCTTCCCTGAGACCTCTCTGTCCCCAGGAGTCCCACCTGACCTCTTCTTGCCTAGCTATTGGTTATTCAACTCTTTATTAAACCAATCACGGTGACACATCTTCACACAGTGTAAAGGAATATTCTGCAATGTTTCCCCTTTTTTTGTCTAAGTAAAAAAGAAAGATTCTCAGTCTAACAGATGCTATTGTAGTTTGCTGATCCGTGCCATTGCATGCCAGCGATAACACTGAAACTGGTTCATCGGGTTTCCATTCCTATTCACTTGAAAGACTCCTGGTCAGAATTATGCCTTTGCCTTTTTGAGTTGATAAGTAAATTGCATGTATTTCTATCATGTACTGGGGTTCTTGATATAAGTATACATTGTGTAGTGGCTAAATTAAGCATATGTAGTTTATACACTAGCTCACATACTTAGAATGTTTGTTTTTCATAGTAAGAACACTTAAAAAATCTCTCATAGTAATTTTGAAGTAATTAATTATATTTTCCCATTTGCCTGATTTTGCTAGTCTTCTAGGGAGGGAAAATGATCATAGGATAAATGAAGAAAGTAAAAGTAAGATAAAAAATTAGAAGAAGCTGGTAGATTTGCACAAAATGCCTGTATGAACGCTTCATAAGTGTTCTAGAGGGGATTGCAAATTAGACTTAAGGCTTTTTTTAAACCTCTAGTACAAAGGAGCAAAATATGATGCGGTATATAGTTCACAGTATTCTAGAGAGTAAAAAGAATCAGTCAGTTACCTTGGCACATTCCAATGAGTTCTGGAATTCTTAAGAAATTTCTCCAACAAGTGGTGATAAAGAAGACTATTTGAAAAAATTATTTTGGGAGACTAGAGGGAAGGTTGATACTCTCTGAAGAAAATTAGAAGTTTCAAGTGATATCTGGTGATGTCTGAAATGTCTTGGGGTTGCACCTATGGTCAGAACCAAGTGGATTTCATAACATTAGCTCCTTGGTCTCTTCATAGCAACCTGCAGTCAGTATGTATATTGTTTTTCTCCTGAATAGATTATAGTCTACTACACATTATAGTCATCATCTTCATTCTCTTATGTATCAGGAGCACAACAAATGTTTATTAGATAATGAAGGAATGGAAAAAGTCTGGTGGTAAAATGTACGCTGAGAGGACTGACTTATCCTGTTGAAAGGGATTTTTAGCTAATTTGAAGCTAGCTAGCTATAAGAGTGTTTAGAAAGTTTATCACAAGAGTATTGTTGTTGATCTGGTAGCATTGGTTGTCTGTTGAGTTCACTCACATGAAAAACTCTAGGGTAGGCTTAATAATTCATATTGTACCATCCATGGCATGAAAACTCGCTCTACCACTTAACTCCCGTCCTTTACAGGAGAAGGGCTGCGGGACTTCCTGAAGTCCACCGGGGTAACTCGGCAGACTTCTCTTGGGCCACTAGAAAGGTTACTGCTTAGGTTTTTATTAAAAGTACTTATCTGAGTAATTAAAAGAGAGGTTTATCTTCTATTTAATAAAATCAATGGAAGGCAGCCACATTCACACACATTTGTTGAATGTGAGGCTTTTCTGGGATAACCCAGCTGTTTGGGGCAAAGTAGTCTGACAACTAACTTTTGCTTTCTTTTTATATATGGAGCACTGTCTCTTCCGATGATTTGCATGACTCTATTCCCTGTGGTGGCTGACTAAGACTTTGTTCTTCACCCCTGCAGGGACACAGAATACAAAGGGCTGCAGCTCTCTCTGGACCAGATCTCAGCCTCTAAGCCCACCTTCTCCTATACCAGCAGCTCCACACCCACCATCACTGACAACAGGAAGGGGGCTAAGTCTCGGCTCTCGGGCGCCAAGTCAAAATCCAGGACCTCCCCATATCCCCAGGTAAGTACATGGGTGTTTCACAACTTTCTTTTCTTTTTCTTTTTGACTTGATTTGATCTTGAAGTTGAAGAAGTATGAAATCTAATTATTATATGTTTTTGATAGATAAAAAAGTGTTAAGAGGAGTTGTGAATTGATTTTGTTGTTTGATGTGTTCATGGGAGGTTAGTTTTCATCATCACAGTTTCTTTGATATTTTTATTGATTCTACTTCTTGCTCTCTCTAACTCCCAACAATAATTAGCTTGGAAGATTTAGTAAGCACAATAAAACATAGGAAATAAGGCCTCAACAGAAACGTTAAATTAAAATGGGAACTTTAAAAGAGAAAGACAGGAGGTTAAAATTAAGAATGAAGCATAGCTTCAGCATGAGATTTGCCCACAGACTGCATATGGGGGAACTGGGAGAGACAGAACCCTCCAGATGACAGGGAGAAAACTCCTTAACAATGCAGTGAGATGATGACACCCAGAGGAGGTACCCCAAAATAGTGAAGCATACATTTATGAGAAATGGTTTTTGGAGGGAAAGGAATATTTTTGTGACCAGTGTGTGAGAAATAGAAACTAGATTTTTGGCAAGATGTGTCTGTGCAGCTTCCTGCCTGGAGGAGGTAGCACAGGACTGAGGCTTCCCCACTCCCTGTAGCCTGTGCCCACTTTGCCTCCATCCTCTCTGGAGACAGACTGCCAGACTACTTGCAGCTCACTGTGGGTAACTCAGCAGATTATTCTTGGGCCAATAGAAAACCAGTGATCTTTCTGAGGCACTATTTTTTACTGCTTATTATTATTACTATTATTGTTAAAAATACCAATCTCGGGATACAGAAATGATTATTTTTGTTCTTTTCAGAGCTGTTATTTTGTCAAATGTATAAGTGTGAACTATTTGAAGAAATGCTTTTCATTGACTTGGTTGCCATAAAAAAGCTACTATTTGTTAAATTATTTTAGTGTCTAGATAATGAAGATAAGAAGATAGTGACTTCTGCCACCAAGATGCTTAAGTCACATGGCTTGAAATCTTTCATAGAAGATTTCTTTACTCTGATAAAAGGGGGTGGGTAAGGCCTACATGCTTTTCAGTGCACAACTTCTTCCAGGATAGCTGAGTACTTTCCTTGTGAAGCATAGAGATGACGAGAGACACCGCCCGCCAATGGGAGCTGCTCCTTTCTCTAGAGAGTCTGTGAGGAGCTTTTTATATTACCATCTGGTGCTTTGGGAAGTGAGTTTTGTTGCTTCCTTTTAGGAATGGATTATGCCTCTGAGTAGTCCTTTCCTCAAAAATAAATGAATGTTGAACATGCACAGATGAAAGAAGGATTTAAATTAGGAAATACTAAATTAAGAAAGAGTTTGTTCTTTGTTATATAGGAATTAACATGTACACATGTGGGTACACACATGTGCACAAATGCACATGCGCACATACACATGCATGCGTGCAGGCACACACATGTGAGTACTCACGTGCACACACATGCACACACGCATGTACACACACACACACACACACACACACGCACACACACACGCATACTCCTCTTATTGAACCTCTTAAACTTCATTGCATGATCTGTTTCCTTCCTGCTTCCTGTTGCATCTGTCTTATGTCTAAAGTTTCTATCAGTTCACTCTAACAGTAGATGCTGTCCCATTAGATGACTTCTTGTGTGTGTTTAGCTGATGAGGAATTGATTTGAAAGTTAAACATATTGTGTAGTTTAAAAAATAAAAGTGGAAAGTAGAAAATTCCTCTTTATTGTTTTCTTTAGAATTGTAAGCTCTTCTATGATGTTTTGTAATGTTTAAAATCACAAGCATAAACAAAGCAAAACCCAAACACATATTGTTTACATAGGATTTCTCTTGTGTATTCATTTTTATGTTAATACTTGGAAATCAAGCTCTTAGAATTTTGGCTGTATGCCTCCTTTAAGCAGCACAGTTGACTATAAATTAAGTTTACCTAACATTTATGTGCCTACTAAAGGTTATTCTTAATTTTGTTTATTTTAGATAACCAAGGTGATAGATAAATCATTTTTTAAGTTTTCACTGTATGGGTACTAGCACACAGATGCCAGGAAGGAGACATAAGTTTTCTGCTTACAAGGAGCCAGTGGTACAGAATGGCAGGTGAACAGACATTTGGTGTGAGAGTATCCTTGGAGAAGTATCATTGGAAAAGTGTGACAACCAAGGCAAACTCATAGTTTCTGCTGGAAGAGAACAACTTTGAAATCTGTCCATCTTAGATATATTTAAATCTTCAGAAATTTTAAAGTAAAAGAAAGCTCTTCAAAAATTTTTGGTTCAAATTATTCTTTAGGAATAGCTAGTCTTCAAATTTTATGCAGCATAGTTCTTTTTTAAAATTTTTTCAGATTTATTTATTTTTATTTTATGTGTACTGGTGTTTTGCCAGCATGTACGTTTGTATGCCGTGTATTCAGTGCTCAATGGATGCCAGCCAAGGGCATCAGATCCTCTGGAACTGGAGTTAAAGACAGTTGTTAGCCTCATGTGGGTGCTGGGAATTGAACCCTGGTGTTTCAGAAGAGCAGTCAGGTCTCTTAACTCCTTAGTCATCTCTTTATACCCCCGCCCCCATGTGGCATTGTTCTTATAAGTTTTCAACTCAGCATGTGTGAGCTGAAGATCTGTTTCAGAAAGATGCTACAGTGATCATTGTGAGATCTGAGGATACAGACTGGGTAAAATATAAACAAGTGGTATAAGAAATATTCTTAAAATTTTCAGTAACGTTAAAGTAGTAAATTATACTATAGAGAAAGAAATGTAATGAGAAATGATATGTATACAGGGCTTTGTGAATTGTGTCTGAATGGTGTGGGTGATCTAACTTTGGGGTAGGATCATGTATATCAAAGTGAAAAAGTCAGGAAAACCAAGACTGAGAAATGCAAGAGCATGTTATCAGTGTGACTGGGTTTAGAGATGGAGTAGGGGAAGGTTGGTGTTTCTGAATGAGTGAGTGATGGTTGAAAAATAGATTGGTGCCAATATATACTAATTTTTTGTGGAAAATAAGTAAAGTTTTTTGGGTAGGGTGTAAGAATACTGATAAGGTAAAACAAGGAAAATTATTCAGGGGACTAATTCATACAGTTCTGATGTGAGTTTATAAAGACCTGTTAAAAATAAAGAATGGTTAAATTTCTTTATCCTGGGCTTCTGTACCCCTTTTTGTTATAGATATATTTTGGTTATATTTTATATCACTATTTTGAGATTATACTTCTACAGCTTGTTTTCAGTTTTTCAAATCAAACATATTGAATTCCTCCATGTGTATTAGTAGATGAATAATGATAATGAGACTATGGCTTGAATTACATATAAGATACCTCTGCCCATTTTGGGGGTAATTTTTATTTATACTTTTCATTAAAACTTCATTGTAAAGAACTTGCAAATAAAAGCACCACATGCTCATTTTCAAAGTATTCTTTTCTCTTTGTTATTTCTATCTGCAAGTTCTCATTTGATGTTTCAGAAGGCAAATTTCATAGCAAAATGTAGCCTACAAAGTAATGGTAGTTTAATGATTTAATATTATTTGTTACTCCCTTTTATTGATGTATATTAGGCACATTAAAAATTTCTAGCAGATATCTAATAAATGGCAAACAGCAACCTTGCTTTTTTGAATTATTTATGTACTGTTCTATGAACATTCAAGATATGCACAAATTATAATTCATTCCCAGCCTCTAGTTTGGGTGCAAGAGTAGACGAATCTTCAGATCCTTCTCTGGTATTAGAAACCCTTGGGAATAATTTTAGACTTGATTACATTATGGTTGCTTAATGAATGACTGGATCGCCCTTGAACCTCTGTGCATTACTTGAGTTGGGAAAGGTCAAAATAGAATTGTTTTGAATGGTTATAGAAAAACTGCGATAGAAAACATTGTGGTTAATTTTTTTTTCATTCCTCACACAGTGTCAGGGCTGCAATCCTGTCACAGTGCTGCAGTAGTCTATTGTTATTTATTTTATGCATGCAGTTTTTGTAGTTCAAAGGAACTGGAGCTACTGAGTTTATAGAATTTATTTTTCAGAACTTATGTGTTATAGATTGCTACTATGTTTTCCACATATTTTTTGTAACTAGGCCTGACTACTCTAATACCAGTTGAAAGTTATCTTGCAATGGTTAACTTATGTCAATCACGAGTAAATGCCTCCTGACTTCAGAGTTTCCTTTTAAACTTTTTACATTAGTATGTTTATAGTTGTGTTTAATACAGTTAGTTCATGGCAGCTGAGTTTATTGCATCATCTCACTCTTCTCTCATCTTCTCTCTAATCAGTAGTAACCAACACATGTGTCATCCCTCCAAGGCTGTATGTGTTACACTGTGGAAGCTTCTGAAATCTGAAGGTATTAAATCACTTGCTTCAGATACACTGTAACACTTGTGAGTTTTATTTGACATCTGTTCCTTCAAACAATCTCACAGAACCCTCTTAATTTTCATGGCCAGCAGTCTGGATTCCTTTGGGTGAAAGTAGAAATTCTCTTGGAAATTCTGGGAACCTGACATTTTAAGTTACAGAAAAAAAAAGTACCAATAATTTTGCAAGAAAGTAATTCCATTACACAAAGTACTTTTATCATTACTATATAGCTATCTTTCATTTGATGTTTTATATATAGCATGAACACATGGAATTCTTGACTAATTTTGAAAAATACTGATTTTTTTTTTTTTATAAAAATGAAACCATCTTTCCAGAAAGTCTTATACTATGCAGGCTAGTTCATATTACTGGGGTTAGGCCACATATAAATTTAGGACATATCTTCAAATATCAGGAGATTATTAAAACAATTTTGACCCTTTTAGATTATTTCCATATACGAACTTCTGAGTATTATTTTAGAAAATATTTTGTTCAGTATAGTGAGACTTTGCGTTCCTGCTTTGTTTTCTTTTCTTTTTCTTTTTTTCTTTTTTTTTG